CACAAGCACACTGCTCTAACCACTAGGCCAACACTGTCCTATCTTAAGCTTTGGTAGTTTTAATTTACAAAAAAATTAAAAACCTAAATACTCTTTAGAGGCTGTAGTGTAGCAAACGCTTACTTCTGTAGTGACGTTGAACTAGGACAGAAGACAAAAATTCAAGCTCAAACTATTTTATTTAAATTTCATGCTCTCTTAACTGTGATAGAATTTTGGTTTTAGTTAAAAGATGATTGTTTGGCGTAGGGAAAACAAAGCATGGCCTTTAAAAGTTCTAAATTGAAATCTGAAATGTGGAGTTTGCTTGTATCTTTAACCCTTCTGAACTTTGATTACAACTGCATTTCTTATTTGGTGACTCTCTTTAACATTTTGTTAAATTGCAACTATATTGCTGTTAAAGTAAAGCTAACATGATAATTTGTTGCCACATCAGCTCCCCAGGTTTAATTGGTTGGCAGAGAGAAGAATGCCACTGAAACACTCTAAGTTACCTCATATAATTTAAAGATATACTGTGTGCACGTCTTAGTCTGTTCCCACAATAGACACCATGATCAACCTGGACCTTCTTTATTATCACAAGGCTCCTGGACTCAGATGGAGTTTGTTATCCTTCCTGGTCTGCAGCTGGAACCAGCACTTAAAGTGCATGCCTAATTACTTTCAAGGTCAAAGCTACCCCGTACACTGCAAACACACTCACAAGTTCAACAATTCCTCACAACAATAGTATAATTTAAAAGTTTTATATAAGGCTTTGTAAAACACAGTCATGATTATATATTTGTGATACATCCTTATAATTGATTGATTGTCTTTACTGATCTAACAGTGGAAGAATGTACTCCTTACATCAGCTCAAATAGTCAAAGGAGAAGAATAAGCTGACAAAGGAAGAAAAATGTGCATGGAATATAAGCTCAAATATCTTCCACATTGCCCAACCCTATAATGCTTTAATCTGTTTTTTAACCATTCCATTGTAAAGCAGGATAAGGATCTTTCTTTTTTCAAGTCTTCTGCTTTAGTAAGCTTTCTTTGGCCCTCTTGATGAAAAGCATACTTTCACTGTAGGGGTGTTTTCAGGCTGATGTGAGGGATGACTACATTTATGTTCTGGCCTCATCTGACCAGAGTACATTCTCCTTCTTCTTGTGTGTCCTGCATGGTTTGCTGTAAAGTTTAAACACTTTCTTTCAACGGCTGTTTTCATCTTCACAATAAAATCTAGATTTATGGATTGCACTGGTCCTTTTAATAGATTCTCCAACAAATGTTCTGGATCCCTCTCTGACCAATGCACTCCTTAAGCTTAAAAGCCATGAATAAATAGTATATAGGAAGGCAGTTGTTTGCACAGAATTTTTTTAGAGGGATCTGATTGTGAATTATTTTGAAGATCATTTTAAATTTTCTTTTTTCCTCTGTGGTTATGTGCAACAATTGCATGTATTATTGAATTCTACACATAATTTTGATTGTTAAATGTAGATTTATGTCTTGTTTGCTTCATTTAAAATAATAACTGTTAAGCACACTACTATAAAATATATATATATTTCCAACCTGCACTGCGACGATTAAGAGATCTGTTGCCAGCAGATGCAGATCTATATCTGATATCAGCAGCAAGGAAACTGCCTTGAGGGCAACTGAGTTTCGACACGGTTGTGACGTGCAGGATGTGTCTCCTCGAGATTCAGGAGAAAGGGTGCTGGGCCAGTGAAAGTCGGGAAATTAGGATTTTCTTTTTTTTTCTTTTCAGTTCCTAAGAAGTCTTACTTGGCAAGTGATCAAATAAACGTGAGTGTATAAAAGGTGAGGCTCATGGTGCTTCACAGTCAGACAGCCTCAGCAGTGAAAAACACTTCACATCAAGAGGAGCCTCATCACTGCTAGATAAACTCTACAAGGATGAATTCTGCGATCCAGTTCATCGTTCTTCTGGCCTGCATCACCATCTGCACCTCTGCAAGTAAGTGCTCTGCAAGCATTTTCCTTAAGTATCAAACCAATCATTAATTTTTAATTTTGAAATAATATGATGCATTTATTTCATGAATATATCCATTCTTAATATATTCCATCATTGTTCCCCCAGGCATTACGAAATGCCACTGTGTGAAGACAGTCGAAGCAGTGAGGCCCAAACTCATCGCTCATGTCAGAGAGCATAAACCACGTCCATACTGCAACGAACATGAAGTAATGTAAGTGTCTGTAGAAACAAAAAAAGTATTAGATAGACTTACTATA